AAATGTCACGAAACACATTCACCTCACAGTTGCAGATTTCTCGAAACTTATTATCGTTTTAATAACACGTTCACTTCATATCCGACATGTGTTGTTAATTTTTTGAAATTTTAATAATCTTAATTTGAAATCTTGGACAATTACAATTTTACATTGTTGAGCTACATTAACTCAATTGAAAAGTTGTTAATATTATGTTAAAATTCATCATCAAGAAAGATATAATAATTTTATAGAAATTGCGAACTTGAATCGTGCAAAATAATATATTTATTATTTGATAAAGTTTGCTTAATTAGCAATTATTTATGATATAAAATTTTAAGAAGACAAAGAAAATGTCTTCAGATTGATAAAAATTATTTCTAAAAAAAAAAAACCTCTTGATAGCCGAAGAGTAAGTGAAGCTAAATTTTTTTCCTAGTATCCATGCAGCAGATTGTTTCAGGTTGACGCACTCATGCGTCTCTTGTGTGTTGGAGCACACAGCTAAGCTAAAAGCACGACTACTGGCAGGTGGCTACGCCCGGTAGTATCTAGTACCTGAGGATAATGCGGGGGAGGCATGCTTAATATTAACAGGATGCTATAGAGACCGCGCGTGTTGTTCCTACGTAATTTCCTCCTAAACGTACTAAGGGATGCCCATGCATATTTCAGAACAGCAGATACGAGAGCACGAATGCGTATCCTTGTGCAAGCGCTTTGTACACAGGGTGCCCAAGTTCTGCCGTATTTTCTGCCACTTAGGAATCCTTTTCCCAATTTGGAGTTCTGAATTTCTTAAAATGTACATACACCGCGATACTTCTCGACCTACGAGACCTACAGACCTATCGGAGAATTATAAAGAATTTTCCGGAGACTTATTTGTAACTGCGTTGTCTTATTTATTATCATGTATCTACAAACAAATTCTAAAGTTGGAAACTTATGTAACAAGTCACAGATATATTTAATCGAATCTTTGTTAAAGAAATATGGAATGATCTAAATTGATCCAAGATCAATTACGAAAAGAAAATGCGAAATAATCTCGGCACACCCGATATCGTGCCACACGTATGTGTGATATTGTGCCATCGTTAGACGACGTCGATATCGCGAGTAGACGCTTTGCTAATCGCTACGAACCGTCTGATACCGGCATTTATTCAGGCCGGAATCAGAATTTCATGTTCTATGTATATAGAACCTGGTGTATTTGCATGTCTCTTGTCGCAAACATAGTTATTTTGTCTGTGATGCATGTTTACAATTGATATCGTCATGGCAATTAATTATTAGGATCCTTGAGCATATGAGATGAGAGATAATTTTGCAGTTTTGATTTAAATAAAGAATTACATAACGCGCACAAATAGTTACGTCAAAATAAAATATTCTAAAAAATTCGCAATTCTAAATAAAAATACAGTAATAAAGCAGAAATATACAAAACGTTTGTACTATGCAATATTACGTAAAATTTATTTAAAACCACGTATATATATATATATATATATAT